TAAAACAACAAAATTAACACTAAATGGTGGCTTCTAGCACTTTCAACTTTCGCCACTTAATTTTTTGATACAGTGGAGCAATGTGATATAAAATCTGCTAAATTAGTGTGTTATCTGTCAATGCATAAATACTCCTCGTTATTATAAGCTTTCTTTTCAACGGCTATTTACGATAATCTTTCAGTTTTTGTTTTTAACTGCTAACAAAAATAAGGCATTCCGACTTTCTGAATAAGGTGCTTTTACTAAGGCATGTAAGCCCAGCCTTTTTTCAAAGATATGATGAACTGCAGTCAAACTGTGCACTATGATGAAACACGGAACATCTGTCACATGGCTGATAAAAGCATCCAAAAAGTTGACGAATCTGTTGTTAAAGAACCATTAAAACTTGATATGCCAGTGAAATACAGTGATGCGGCCTACTCAACCTACGATATCTTTACTGCTGCCAGTCTTGGAGATGTAGAATCAGTGACGGTTATTGTTACTTTCTATTTTTTCTGTCTACAGGAACTGTTTTGTCCGCTAAGACTGAGACTCTCTTTTTTTAGCAGGAGTTGAAAAAAAAGTCTGAACCAGATCGGTTGAATTCGTCAGGCTGGAGCGCTTTACTGTATGCGGCATATATGGGACATTCGGCTATTTGTTCACTTCTTCTTGATTTCGGAGAGTCTGTAGATGCATCTTCTATAGACGGTGACACAGCACTTATAAAGGCTGCTTCCTGTGGAAATCTTTCTACCGTAAGTGGTGACATTTTTCTTCTTGGAGAGTCAGGGTAAAATGAAGCGCCATTTTAAACTATTACAGTTTTAGATCCGACTTCTCATTGACAGAGCTGCAACTGTTGACAAACAGAATTTAGATGGTGATACAGCATTATCATTTGCCGTTATATACTCCCACAATGAAGTTGTAAAGTTTCTTCTAGAATCTGGTGCTGACCCTAATGTAAGAAACAAATCTGGTATGACGCCAACGTTGTTAGCATGTTCGGTTGGTCACGAATTAACTTTAATCAGCGTGTTGGAGTTTGTAAGTTTTTGAGGTTTAAGCATATAGATGGTCCCGTGTAAGTTTATTTTTTTAAGCAGTTTAAACCTTTAGGGCGGAAATGTTTATTTGAAGAACGAAAAAGGAGATGACGGAGAGGCTTTGGCAGCTAGTAATCCTAAAATTTTAGAGATTTTAAAGGATCCTCCGCAGGTAATGATAACTGTTGTAAACTGCTATGGTAATTTACTAGTGTTGTTCATGTCCAGTTCAGAACTCATACATTATATATATATATATATATATATATATATATAT